TTATATAATCATTTCCACCTGTGATACCTGAATTTTTCAATGATTTAATTAATTTTACGTTGTTTTTTTTGCTTTATGGCTCTTTTTTTTTACCCGTGTATCATCTCTCTGTAGCTTTTTAGTTGTAGTGCCTCTTTTTAGGTTATTTTACATCTCATTTTTGGTATTTAACACCAATTTTCATTTGATTTGTGTTGCTCTAGTTCTCTTTTTAGTCCTATAACATCTCTCTAGAACTGTTTCGTCTCATTAGTAATGTCATTTCTCTTTCTGTAGTTGCCCTCTGACCTCTATAGCTCCAGCGTTGAGGTCTAACCAGCTGATACTTTACAGGTGAGCTAGGAACGGCCTCTCCTCAAAGGTAGGAGGGGTCAATCAGTGCAAAAACATCTCCGCTAGACGTCAAAGGTCACCGTTTGTAGACCTACAGAAGGGCTGAAGACAGATTTCTGGTGTTTGGTGCAGATCAGGAGCCATGTTTGGGCTTCCTGTTGGTGACGTGACATTTGACCTTTGGTGATGCTTCAAGCTCAAACTCAAGGTTAAAAAATGTGGATATTGCCATTATATGTTAAATAACATGTGATGTATTCATGGATAGTTCACCTTGGACAACCAGCCAACCATGATTAGTAAAAGAAAACACCGATTCTTCTTCTGCTTCTAGTTTAACGCCTATTTCTTATGTCTTTTTATGTCACTTTATTGTGTCTTCATAGCTGTATTAGTGATGTAATATGTCTTTTTAGTCATATTTATGTCTATTTTAAGTCATTTAACACTGCTTTTCATTTGATTTACGTTGTTTTAGTTCTGTTTTTAGTCGTGTAACATCTATGTGGAGCTTTTTTATGTCTCTTTAGTTGTGTAACAGCTCCTCGTTTAGTAATGGCACATCATGTTTTGTCTATTTTCAGTCATTTAACACTCGACAGTTACACTAATCTCTAATTATATAATCATTTGCACCCGTGATAGTTGACTATTACAATAATTTACACTTATTTAATGTATTTTATGTTTATTTCCTGCCTACATCCCTTTTTAGTCGTGTAAAATCTGTTCTGTCTATTCACTAAATCTCTTTTTTTTTTTAGGTATTAAACACTGTTTTTCATTAGTTTGATGCTGTAGAAACTCTGTGGAAACTTTCATCATAACTCATCCAGAACAAAACTCCAGACCAGATGATGATTCTTTGCAATAAAAACCTCAGCAGCATTAAATAATAAATGTGACCTTTGATTGTCAGATGTGATGTTGTGATGAAGCTTTCCTCCACAGTTACCTTCCAGGTAAGAACCACGAGATATACGCAAACAAATGCTTCACCTACTTCATAATAAAATGGCTGAACACTGAGGCTAAGACTAAAAATAGACATGATAAGACAGAAAAGAGATAAAACATCTATGTATGATGAACTAAATCAGTAGTACAGGGTTGTAAAGTTTAACTCAGTACCACCTGATAATGTAGTTTNTTAATAATATAAAAATACCTGATTAAATTCAATATTAGGATAATCCCCAACAATAATGTTTATTCTACATATTTACATAAATGATTTAAATAAATTGTACAAATTCATCTGGCTGAATAAAAAAAAGTGCAAATTTATCTCATTAAATTAAAAAACTAATAAAACTTTCCTTAATAATGTGTTTATTAAGGCTAAATGTGTGATCTACTTATTTGCAGATATTTACTAAACAAAAATAAACAAACAAACAAACAAACAAAACACTACAAGGCCACAAAGTTCCACCTTTAGCTTCATCTAAACCCTCCAACAGTATTAAGTTTGCACATTAATTACAACTAAATCTCCACTGAAATAGGAAATAGTTTCTGTTTTTGCCTAAAAGTTCATTGATTAATCAGCTGTTCAGTTTGCTGCTGATTGTTTTTCATTAATAAGTTAATCAACTAATCAGTAATTAGTACACTGTGGTGTTAACGTTAATAGAACAGAGTTTAAACCCTTTAAAATGCACTATTAACTAGAAGGATGAACAGCTAATATTCAAACATATAAACACAAATCAAACAAGACGTAGCTTGAACAGGAGCGTCTGTGTGTGATTTGATCCAGAGAGAGAAAGTTTCATGAATAATTAACAAATGCTCGTTAATGACGGCTGTAAAGTGGCTGCATTCAAAGTCTGACGTGTTGTCGTGCAGCCTGCTGTTGAGTCACTGTGACTCTGTTAAACCTCATCGTTCCTGTTTCCAGTCGTTCTCGTCGTGTCTGAATGTCAGCAGCTAAAAAAAAAACCCAAAAAACAGTTTTTTAATGTTCAGGAATGTTTAGGCTGATGTTGAGCAGAGAACGCTGTCGAATGTGGAGACGAGCTGCAGGGCGTCGAGTGTTTCATGTGAACGGAGTCAAACTGAACCGAGTGGCTTCAGAGGAACGTCGACGTGAAGCTATGAAGTTATTCAGCATCCAAAACACTCCCCTGCATCGAAGAATGTCACCAATCAGCAAAGAAAACACCAACTTTTAGTCTTGTTTGGTCACTTTAGCACATATTTGTAGCTGTAT